GGTCCACGAAGGGGGTGCCGTCGTCGGCCTTCTGGTAGAGGGTCTCGTGGAAGAAGATGACCCCCCCGATGCACGTCTTGACCCGGCTGTCGGCGCTGAAGAGGATCTGGCGGTAGAGACGCCGGTTCTCCTCCGTGTTCTCCACCCCGATCTGGTTCAGCCGCTTGGCCATGCTGCCTGCGGGGGACCCCAAAAAGCCGCCCTGAGTTGAGGACCCCCCCCTGCGTGTCACAGCCTGGGCCCGCCCTCCATCCCTCCATCCCTCCAGCCTGGACTCTTCCCAACTACAGGCAATCCTCCACTTACGACCCCCATCGGGCCCAGCGTTTCTGTTGCTAAGTGAAACATTTGTTCAAGTCAATTTCGCCCCGTTTTACGGCCTTTCCTGCCACCGCCGTTAAGCCAGTCACTGCAGCTGTCAAGACGTTGAGTCCGGCTTCCCACCATGGACTCTGCCGGTCAGAAGGTCACGCAAAAGGGGATCACGTGACACACATATGCACAGCGGACGCTGCGACCGTCGTAACTCTGAGTCAATCGCCAAGCGTCCGAATTTTGATCACGTGACCGCGGGGACGCTGCAACGATTGTGTTCGTCTTCATCGCTTAAGTTTTAATCATTTTTTTTTCAGTGTGGTAGGACATTAAATGGTCACTAAATGAATTGTTGTATGTTGAGGACTAGTGTCTCTCAGTCTCCGGACAGTCAGAGGTTTTTGAAGATGGAAATCCGGAGCCACTCAAGGACTGAAAATGGGAAATCCTAATTACGGGGGCTTCCCGCCCCCCCCCCAGCAATCCCTCCCTCTTCCATAATGGGGAGGGGTCCTTCGTGCCCCCAGGAGAGGAATCCAAAAGCGTCTTTGAAAAGTGGGACCCCAGCTTTTCCCAGGAGCCCCCCTCCCTTGCCTGCTGGAAAGATGCCCCCCCCCGGAAGAGATGCCTCCAGACCCACTCCCCAAATGCCAGGCTGCTCAGCCCCCCTCCCCCTCCCTCTCCGGCAGACCCACCTACGGACTCATCGGCGGCCAGGATGCCCTTGCCCGGGGCCACGATCCGCTGGGCAATGTCCGAAAGCGCCTTCTTCTGCTCGGCAGTGAGCGGGGGGTACTGGTGGGTCATCTTGATAGGTGTCTCTGGAAGGGCATCCAAACGTGTCACTCAACAATGGCCAGGGCTATCGTGTCTTTATCGTCTACGGATGGACAAGGATGGCCCCTTGGCGGCCTGTGGACTTCAACTCCCAGAATTCCTCAGCCAGCCAGTATGGCTGGCTGAGGAATTCTGGGAGTTGAAGTCCACAGGCCGTCCAGGGGCCATCTTTGCCCATCTGTGATCTAAATCAGGGGTCTTCAAACTTGGCCCTTTGATGACTTGTGGACTTCAGCTCCCAGAATTCCTCAGCCAGTGTGCCTGGCTGAGGAATTCTGGGAGTTAAAGTCCACAAGTCATAAAAGGGCCAAGTTTGAAGACCCCTGTCTTAAATCTAACAAACAAAATGGAGGCTGGCTGAGGAATTCTGGGAGTTGAAGTCCAGAAGTCATCAAAGGGCCAAGTTTGAAGACCCCTGCTCTAAATCCACTGGCCGACTTACCAACTTAGATTCTGCATTTGCAAACAAAACACACCACAAATGGAAAGAGGTCATCTGGACGATCTGCGCAAATTCCATATATACCAGACCCCCTTTCCTCCCCCCTCCTTGAATTTTTAACTCCCTTGTTTTGGGGGAGGGCGGAAAGGTGCAAATGCAGACATTAGAAATGTCCTTTCCCTAAACTTTTATTCAGTCACAATGAAGCGCTAGCACAAGATGGTTATTTTTTTTTATGCTTTGTCCCTCTATTGTGGGGAGGGGGCAATTAACCTTCCCGAGGGGCTAGCTGAGAAACTGGGACTGTTATGGAGGGCTGTGAAATTGTGTAGGCACCTATGAAAATTAAAATAGCAGTTGCCTTCAAAATAAAAGAAATGCAGTTGTATTACGTGCAGGGCATATGGTTATTCACATTTAATGTCTAATTTCCGACTGACCGACCTCAGGCGGGGGGCCAGCAGGAACAGCCAAAGGGCCAGATGTGGCCCTTTTCCTAAAACCTGCCAGTGTATATTTTTACTTTTGTATTGTTGGAAGAAAAGTCTTCATCCTGGTTCATCCAAGCTGGGAATAAACATGGCAACTGCTTTGGGAAGAAGGTTGTGTCAAGTCTGCTAACATTGGATGTTATTGCTTGACATATGTGAAGAAGCAAACATATCTTATTTAGCCTGCACATTGCTTCAAGAGCAAAAGCAGGCATTGCGGGCCAGATGACGGGGGAGGAATGCCTGTGAATACCAACATTATCTTAGCATAACACAGCCAAGGTCAAAGCAGCAGCAGTGTGTAATAACAGAGATGAGGCGAGAGGAAGATTCACACCTCTGTTTAATTGGAGCATATGATTGATGACTGTGGAAGGAGGGAGGGAGTTGTGCTTGTCGCGAGAGCTAGGATGGGGGGGGGTGTTTCAGTCTTTGGCTTTACTTTGTTCGTGCCGGATTATGTAACCCATTAAAGGATTCTTTAAGGTAATTAAGCCTCAAAGTTCTTTGAAAAGTTATTTCTTTCGGAACCATGACAGGTTGTAGTTTATTGGAGAGGAAAGCCAGACAGGAAGATGGTTCTGGCAGCAAAAGAAGTGAAAAAAGGGCTGAGCACATGTGGGGAGTGGGTTTTTATACCCTCTGGAGCCTTTTGTTTGGAGTTATTTTCTGTTCTGTTTTGAGGCTATTTCCTGTGTCATGTATTTTGACCTGAGTTTGAGTGTGCCCTTTGGCCTTTGTGAGTTAATCCTACCATGTCCTGTCCCAGGTGGGTGGGGTATGCAGATTCTAGGTCTTTGTCTTCCTAATCTCCTAGCTCCAACTTTCCTGATGGTTTACATCTGCATTTGTACAGAGCTG